CCCCAAAACCCCAAAACCCCAAAACCCCATTGAGTTTATTTCTAAGAAGATTAAAGCGATTAAACAGATAATTGATTTAATAAAATACAAATTAAAATTTCAAATATGGAAGGAAATCAAATTGAATAATCTAAGAACAATGATCAGGCTAATGCTGCATAAAATAAAAGTAGGATATTAAAATGTAATAATTTCAGATGGTCCAAAAAAATAGAAGAAAAAGGCAGAGAAATTCCTTTAAAAAGATCACACTGATTCAAATATGCTAGTAGCTATAAGAATAAGACCACTTTCATAAAAAGAAATAGCTAACAGTGACAAAGATATTATAAGAAGTGAGGATAAGCTACTTGTAAGAATATTTTACTCTTATATTCAAATAGATAGTCCTTGATAAAGTTGAGCTTGAATATAATGAGGAAGGAAAAAAACCAGAGGTTTTGCATAGATCTCGTGAGTAGCGTTATTACTTTGATAGAATATTTCCGCAAGGAACAGTGACAGAGACAGTTTATAAGAATACTTGTGAACCCCTAATTGATTCTATTATTTAGGGATATAACGGATGTATATTTGCCTATGGGACTACAGGTAGTGGTAAGACTCACACAATGACTGGAAACCCAGATTGTCCAGGAATTATGTATCTGATTATCAAGGATATGTTCGACAAAATTCAAAATGAAACTGAAAAAAAATTCGAAATAAAAGTGTCTTACGTTGAAATATACAATGAGGTAATTAGGGATTTGCTTGTAGCAAACTCTAAAGATACTTATCTTGACTTGAGAGACGATTCTGAAAAAGGAGTTTAGCTCGCAGGAGTGACTGAGTTTTAAGTTTAGGAACCGAATCAAGTCATGAGTTTGCTATAAATTGGAAATAAGAGGAGATCGACAGAGGCAACTAATGCAAATTAGACTTCATCAAGATCTCATGCTATCTGTTAGATTTAATTAAGTGTGAAGGATAAGCTCTCTAATACTGAAAACGAAGTACTCTGTGGAAAATTATCCCTTATTGATTTAGCTGGATCTGAAAGAGGCACAGTCACTGAAAATAGGGGTATAAGACTGAGAGAAGGTGCAAAAATTAATACTTCTCTCTTAGCTCTTGCTAATTGTATAAATGCTCTTGGAGATAAGACAAAAAAAGGATTTTTTGTTCCCTTTAGAGATAGCAAGCTAACCAGAATGTTAAAAGATTCACTTGGCGGAAATTGCAAAACTGTGATGATAGCAACAATCAGTCCATCTAGTAATTAGAATGAGGAAACCATCAATACTTTAAAGTACGCCAATAGGGCAAAAAATATTAAAATGAGAGTTGAGCCTAATAAAAAAATGGTTTATTAGCATATTAGTGCTTATAAAAGTATAATTGCTGATTTAAGAGATGAAATCGATAAACTTAAAGCATAGCTGCATACCGAGTTAGGCTAAAGAAACAATCCACTCTCTATTACAAAAACTTCGAAGGATATTGAATCCATTTAGAAAATGGAATTGGAGGAAGCCAAGTAGAAAACGCAGCCTCTTTAATAAGTCTAATCTTTGATAAAAAATGCTGATTGCAAATGTGATTCCAGACTGAGAGATTAGATTGTAAAATTAGAAATTTAGCAAGAAATAGCATAGTCTTATGAGGAAATTATTTAGTTAGAGTAAGCATTGATAGAATTAGACGAATAGAATACTTTAAATGCTCTTGAAATCCGAAAAAGAGAGGCCAAAATATTTATACTGTAGAGATAACTGGAGGATGTTGAAGAAGAAATTAAAAACTCAAAAGAGAATATGGGAGAATAAAATAATAACGAGAACCAACCATCAAATGAAGTGGCATTTCTTAATAGACACATTCAATAGCATTAACAATAAATTGAAATACTAAGTGAAAGTACCAAACAAAATTTAATCAAAAGACAGTAAATGAAATAGGAACTTTATGAAAACTACTAGCAAATTAAATCTATACGTTTATCAATTGATTAGAGAATTGAAAACAATGATATCAAGGATTATCTAGAATTAGTAATTAAAAACAATTTCTTAGAGAGTTAAAATGTTTAGTTGCTTTTAAATCTCTAGCTATAAGCAAGAACTATTATGGATCTAAAAAATATGATTTAAAAGTAGTAAAAGTTTATTGAAGACAATGATATTGGAGGTAATTCAATTAATGGAGATAAAAGTAAGAATTAGCATAATTTTAATTATACTTCTAGATATGGATCTATTCCTTGATGGCGGAGAATTAGACTTTGAAGATCAAGACGCACTTGAAGAGCAATATATCTCGGATTTCAATGAAGACAAACAAAATATTCCAATAACTAATGAGTAAAGCCAGTCATAAAATTAGAACAGACCCCCAAATGGAGGAGGATCAATAGTTCCAAAAAAGTAAAACTTAATGGTTTAAAAGCAGGCGAAGAAATAGGATTCAGCTAAAATTTACTCTGCTAATGCAGGCACGAAAAATAAAGACACTTCTAAGAATACTGGTCCCAAAAAGCGATGAATTATTCATTAAATTAATTATTAATAAATTTATCGACTCTATTGGAAATTGAGGGGTTTTGGGGTTTTGGGGTTTTGGGGTTTTGGGG